TGTCAAAGGCAGGGTTCCATGGTGTAATGGTTAGCACTCTGGACTCTGAATCCAGCGATCCGAGTTCAACTCTCGGTGGAACCTGAGATTAATTACATTTCACTGCTGAGGTACTCTGTACAACATGCATGTGACAAATAAAGCTTGTTATACTTGAACGATTATTTAGAAAACAGAGGTGTTTTCAGCATATGTCCCGCTCAATATTGCAAAAATGCATCAAATTTAAATTTAGAGATGATCCTAATAAATTATTACATAATTTGTCAAAGGCAAGGTTCCATGGTTTAAGTCAGGGTTCCATGGTGTAATGGTTAGCACTCTGGACTCTGAATCCAGCGATCCGAGTTCAACTCTCGGTGGAACCTGAGATTAATTACATTTCACTGCTGAGGTACTCTGTCCAACATGCATGTGACAAATAATGCTTCTTATACTTGAAAGATTATTTAGAAAACAGAGGTGTTTTCAGCATATGTCCTGCTCAATATTGCAAAAATGCATAAAATTTAAATTTAGAGATGATCCTAATAATTTTTTACATAATTTGTCAAAGGCAGGGTTCCATGGTTCAAGGCAGGGTTCCATGGTGTAATGGTTAGCACTCTGGACTCTGAATCCAGCGATCCGAGTTCAACTCTCGGTGGAACCTGAGATTAGTTACATTTCACTGCTGCAAAAATGCAGAAAATTTAAATTTAGAAATGATCCTAATAAATTTTTACATAATTTGTCAAAGGCAGGGTTCCATGGTTTAAGGCAGGGCTCCATGGTGTAATGGTTAGCACTCTGGACTCTGAATCCAGCGATCCAAGTTCAACTCTCGGTGGAACCTGAGATTAATTACATTTCACTGCTGCAAAAATGCAGAAACTTTAGAGATGATCCTAATAGTTTTTTACATAATTTGTCAAAGGCAGGGTTCCATGGTTCAAGGCAGGGTTCCATGGTGTAATGGTTAGCACTCTGGACTCTGAATCCAGCGATCCGAGTTCAACTCTCGGTGGAACCTGAGATTAATTACATTTCACTGGTGAGGTACTCTGTCCAACATGCATGTGACAAATAAAGCTTCTTATACTTGAAAGATTATTTAGAAAACAGAGGTGTTTTCAGCATATGTCCTGCTCAATATTGCAAAAATGCATAAAATTTAAATTTAGAGATGATCCTAATAAATTTTTACATAATTTGTCAAAGGCAGGGTTCCATGGTGCAAGGCAGGGTTCCATGGTGTAATGGTTAGCACTCTGGACTCTGAATCCAGCGATCTGAGTTCAACTCTCGGTGGAACCTGAGATTAATTACATTTCACTGCTGCAAAAATGCATTAAATTTAAATTTAGAAATGATCCTAATAAATTTTTACATAATTTGTCAAAGGCAGGGTTCCATGGTTTAAGGCAGGGTTCCATGGTGTAATGGTTAGCACTCTGGACTCTGAATCCAGCGATCCGAGTTCAACTCTCGGTGGAACCTGAGATTAATTACATTTCACTGCTGAGGTACTCTGTACAACATGCATGTGACAAATAAAGCTTGTTATACTTCAAAGATTATTTAGAAAACAGAGGTGTTTTCAGCATATGTCCTGCTCAAAAATGCATAAAATTTAAATTTAGAGATGACCCTAATAAATTTTTACATAATTTGTCAAAGGCAGGGTTCCATGGTTCACGGCAGGGTTCCATGGTGTAATGGTTAGCACTCTGGACTCTGAATCCAGCGATCCGAGTTCAACTCTCGGTGGAACCTGAGATTAATTACATTTCACTGCTGAGGTACTCTGTACAACATGCATGTGACAAAGAAAGCTTCTTATACTTGAACGATTATTTAGAAAACAGAGGTGTTTTCAGCATATGTCCCGCTCAATATTGCAAAAATGCATTAAATTTAGAGATGATCCTAATAAATTATTACATAATTTGTCAAAGGCAGGGTTCCATGGTTCAAGGCAGGGTTCCATGGTGTAATGGTTAGCACTCTGGACTCTGAATCCAGCGATCCGAGTTCAACTCTCGGTGGAACCTGAGATTAGTTACATTTCACTGCTGCAAAAATGCAGAAAATTTAAATTTAGAAATGATCCTAATAAATTTTTACATAATTTGTCAAAGGCAGGGTTCCATGGTTTAAGGCAGGGCTCCATGGTGTAATGGTTAGCACTCTGGACTCTGAATCCAGCGATCCAAGTTCAACTCTCGGTGGAACCTGAGATTAATTACATTTCACTGCTGCAAAAATGCAGAAACTTTAGAGATGATCCTAATAGTTTTTTACATAATTTGTCAAAGGCAGGGTTCCATGGTTCAAGGCAGGGTTCCATGGTGTAATGGTTAGCACTCTGGACTCTGAATCCAGCGATCCGAGTTCAACTCTCGGTGGAACCTGAGATTAATTACATTTCACTGGTGAGGTACTCTGTCCAACATGCATGTGACAAATAAAGCTTCTTATACTTGAAAGATTATTTAGAAAACAGAGGTGTTTTCAGCATATGTCCTGCTCAATATTGCAAAAATGCATAAAATTTAAATTTAGAGATGATCCTAATAAATTTTTACATAATTTGTCAAAGGCAGGGTTCATGGTGCAAGGCAGGGTTCCATGGTGTAATAGTTAGCACTCTGGACTCTGCATCTGAGGCGGTGGAACCTGAGATTAATTCATTTCACTGCTGCAAAATGCATTAAATTTAAATTTAGAAATGATCCTAATAAATTTTTACATAATTTGTCAAAGGCAGGGTTCCTGTTTAAGGCAGGGTTCCATGGTGTAATGGTTAGCACTCTGGACTCTGAATCCAGCGATCTGAGTTCAACTCTCGGTGGAACCTGAGATTACATTTCACTGATTTCAACATGCATGTGACAAAAAAAGCTTCTTATACTTGAAAGATTATTTAGAAAAAGATTTCAGCATATGTCCCGCTCAAAATGCCTAAAATTAAATTTAGAGATGATCCTAATAAATTTGTCATAATTTGTCAAAGGCAGGGTTCCATGGTTTAAGGCAGGGTTCCATGGTGTAATGCACTCTGAATCCAGCGATCCAAGTTCAACTCTGGAACTCTGAATTAATTACATTTCACTGCTGCAAAAATGCAGAAACTTTAGAGATGATCCTAATAATTTTTACATAATTTGTCAAAGGCAGGGTTCCATGGTTCAAGGCAGGGTTCCATGGTGTAATGGTTAGCACTCTGGACTCTGAATCCAGCGATCCGAGTTCAACTCTCGGTGGAACCTGAGATTACATTTCTGCTGTACTGTCCAACATGCATGTGACAAATAAAGCTTCTTATACTTGAAAGATTATTTAGAAAACAGAGGTGTTTTCAGCATATGTCCTGCTCAATATTGCAAAAATGCATAAAATTTAAATTTAGAGATGATCCTAATAATTTTTTACATAATTTGTCAAAGGCAGGGTTCCATGGTTCAAGGCAGGGTTCCATGGTGTAATGGTTAGCACTCTGGACTCTGAATCCAGCGATCCGAGTTCAACTCTCGGTGGAACCTGAGATTAGTTACATTTCACTGCTGCAAAAATGCAGAAAATTTAAATTTAGAAATGATCCTAATAAATTTTTACATAATTTGTCAAAGGCAGGGTTCCATGGTTTAAGGCAGGGCTCCATGGTGTAATGGTTAGCACTCTGGACTCTGAATCCAGCGATCCAAGTTCAACTCTCGGTGGAACCTGAGATTAATTACATTTCGCTGCAAAAATGCAGAAACTTTAGAGATGATCCTAATAGTTTTTACATAATTTGTCAAAGGCAGGGTTCCATGGTTCAAGGCAGGGTTCCATGGTGTAATGGTTAGCACTCTGGACTCTGAATCCAGCGATCCGAGTTCAACTCTCGGTGGAACCTGAGATTAATTACATTTCACTGCTGCAAAAATGCAGAAAATTTAAATTTAGAAATGATCCTAATAAATTTTTACATAATTTGTCAAAGGCAGGGTTCCATGGTTTAAGGCAGGGTTCCATGGTGTAATGGTTAGCACTCTGGACTCTGAATCCAGCGATCTGAATTCAACTCTCTGTGGAACCTGAGATTAATTACATTTCACTGCTGAGGTACTCTGTACAACATGCATGTGACAAATAAAGCTTCTTATACTTGAAAGATTATTTAGAAAACAGAGGTGTTTTTATATGTCCCGCTCAAAAATGCATAAAATTTAAATTTAGAGATGATCCTAATAAATTTTTACATAATTTGTCAAAGGCAGGGTTCCATGGTTTAAGGCAGGGTTCCATGGTGTAATGGTTAGCACTCTGAATCCAGCGATCCGAGTTCAACTCTCGGTGGAACCTGAGATTAATTACATTTCACTGCTGAGGTACTCTGTCCAACATGCATGTGACAAATAAAGCTTCTTATACTTGAAAGATTATTTAGAAAACAGAGGTGTTTTCAGCATATGTCCTGCTCAATATTGCAAAAATGCATAAAATTTAAATTTAGAGATGATCCTAATAAATTTTTACATAATTTGTCAAAGGCAGGGTTCCATGGTTCAAGGCAGGGTTCCATGGTGTAATGGTTAGCACTCTGGACTCTGAATCCAGCGATCTGAGTTCAACTCTCGGTGGAACCTGAGATTAATTACATTTCACTGCTGCAAAAATGCATTAAATTTAAATTTAGAAATGATCCTAATAAATTTTTACATAATTTGTCAAAGGCAGGGTTCCATGATTTAAGGCAGGGTTCCATGGTGTAATGGTTAGCACTCTGGACTCTGAATCCAGCGATCTGAATTCAACTCTCGGTGGAACCTGAGATTAATTACATTTCACTGCTGAGGTACTCTGTACAACATGCATGTGACAAATAAAGCTTCTTATACTTGAAAGATTATTTAGAAAACAGAGGTGTTTTCAGCATATGTCCCGCTCAAAAATGCATAAAATTTAAATTTAGAGATGATCCTAATAAATTTTTACATAATTTGTCAAAGGCAGGGTTCCATGGTTTAAGGCAGGGTTCCATGGTGTAATGGTTAGCACTCTGAATCCAGCGATCCAAGTTCAACTCTCGGTGGAACCTGAGATTAATTACATTTCACTGCTGCAAAAATGCAGAAACTTTAGAGATGATCCTAATAATTTTTTACATAATTTGTCAAAGGCAGGGTTCCATGGTTCAAGGCAGGGTTCCATGGTGTAATGGTTAGCACTCTGGACTCTGAATCCAGCGATCCGAGTTCAACTCTCGGTGGAACCTGAGATTAATTACATTTCACTGCTGAGGTACTCTGTCCAACATGCATGTGACAAATAAAGCTTCTTATACTTGAAAGATTATTTAGAAAACAGAGGTGTTTTCAGCATATGTCCTGCTCAATATTGCAAAAATGCATAAAATTTAAATTTAGAGATGATCCTAATAAATTTTTACATAATTTGTCAAAGGCAGGGTTCCATGGTTCAAGGCAGGGTTCCATGGTGTAATGGTTAGCACTCTGGACTCTGAATCCAGCGATCCGAGTTCAACTCTCGGTGGAACCTGAGATTAGTTACATTTCACTGCTGCAAAAATGCAGAAAATTTAAATTTAGAAATGATCCTAATAAATTTTTACATAATTTGTCAAAGGCAGGGTTCCATGATTTAAGGCAGGGTTCCATGGTGTAATGGTTAGCACTCTGGACTCTGAATCCAGCGATCTGAATTCAACTCTCGGTGGAACCTGAGATTAATTACATTTCACTGCTGAGGTACTCTGTACAACATGCATGTGACAAATAAAGCTTCTTATACTTGAAAGATTATTTAGAAAACAGAGGTGTTTTCAGCATATGTCCCGCTCAAAAATGCATAAAATTTAAATTTAGAGATGATCCTAATAAATTTTTACATAATTTGTCAAAGGCAGGGTTCCATGGTTTAAGGCAGGGTTCCATGGTGTAATGGTTAGCACTCTGAATCCAGCGATCCGAGTTCAACTCTCGGTGGAACCTGAGATTAATTACATTTCACTGGTGAGGTACTCTGTCCAACATGCATGTGACAAATAAAGCTTCTTATACTTGAAAGATTATTCAGAAAACAGAGGTGTTTTCAGCATATGTCCTGCTCAAAAATGCATAAAATTTAAATTTAGAGATGATCCTAATAAATTTTTACATAATTTGTCAAAGGCAGGGTTCCATGGTTTAAGGCAGGGTTCCATGGTGTAATGGTTAGCACTCTGAATCCAGCGATCCAAGTTCAACTCTCGGTGGAACCTGAGATTAATTACATTTCACTGCTGCAAAAATGCAGAAACTTTAGAGATGATCCTAATAATTTTTTACATAATTTGTCAAAGGCAGGGTTCCATGGTTCACGGCAGGGTTCCATGGTGTAATGGTTAGCACTCTGGACTCTGAATCCAGCGATCCAAGTTCAACTCTCGGTGGAACCTGAGATTAATTACATTTCACTGCTGCAAAAATGCAGAAAATTTAAATTTAGAAATGATCCTAATAAATTTTTACATAATTTGTCAAAGGCAGGGTTCCATGGTTCAAGGCAGGGTTCCATGGTGTAATGGTTAGCACTCTGGACTCTGAATCCAGCGATCTGAGTTCAACTCTCGGTGGAACCTGAGATTAATTACATTTCACTGCTGAGGTACTCTGTCCAACATGCATGTGACAAATAAAGCTTCTTATACTTGAAAGATTATTTAGAAAACAGAGGTGTTTTCAGCATATGTCCTGCTCAATATTGCAAAAATGCATAAAATTTAAATTTAGAGATGATCCTAATAAATTTTTACATAATTTGTCAAAGGCAGGGTTCCATGGTGTAATGGTTAGCACTCTGGACTCTGAATCCAGCGATCCGAGTTCAACTCTCCGTGGAACCTGAGATTAATTACATTTCACTGCTGAGGTACTCTGTACAACATGCATGTGACAAATAAAGTTTGTTATACTTCAAAGATTATTTAGAAAACAGAGGTGTTTTCAGCATATGTCCTGCTCAAAAATGCATCAAATTTAAATTTAGAGATGACCCTAATAAATTTTTACATAATTTGTCAAAGGCAGGGTTCCATGGTTCACGGCAGGGTTCCATGGTGTAATGGTTAGCACTCTGGACTCTGAATCCAGCGATCCGAGTTCAACTCTCGGTGGCACCTGAGATTAATTACATTTCACTGCTGCAAAAATGCAGAAAATTTAGAAATGATCCTAATAAATTTTTACATAATTTGTCAAAGGCAGGGTTCCATGGTTCAAGGCAGGGTTCCATGGTGTAATGGTTAGCACTCTGGACTCTGACTCCAGCGATCTGAGTTCAACTCTCAGTGGAACCTGAGATTAATTACATTTCACTGCTAAGGTACTCTGTACAACATGCATGTGACAAATAAAGCTTCTTATACTTGAAAGATTATTTAGAAAATAGAGGTGTTTTCAGCATATGTCCTGCTCAATATTGCAAAAATGCATAAAATTTAAATTTAGATATGATCCTAATAAATTTTTACATAATTTGTCAAAGGCAGGGTTCCATGGTGTAATGGTTAGCACTCTGGACTCTGAATCCAGCGATCCGAGTTCAACTCTCGGTGGAACCTGAGATTAATTACATTTCACTGCTGAGGTACTCTGTACAACATGCATGTGACAAATAAAGTTTGTTATACTTCAAAGATTATTTAGAAAACAGAGGTGTTTTCAGCATATGTCCTGCTCAAAAATGCATCAAATTTAAATTTAGAGATGACCCTAATAAATTTTTACATAATTTGTCAAAGGCAGGGTTCCATGGTTCACGGCAGGGTTCCATGGTGTAATGGTTAGCACTCTGGACTCTGAATCCAGCGATCCGAGTTCAACTCTCGGTGGCACCTGAGATTAATTACATTTCACTGCTGCAAAAATGCAGAAAATTTAAATTTAGAAATGATCCTAATAAATTTTTACATAATTTGTCAAAGGCAGGGTTCCATGGTTCAAGGCAGGGTTCCATGGTGTAATGGTTAGCACTCTGGACTCTGACTCCAGCGATCTGAGTTCAACTCTCAGTGGAACCTGAGATTAATTACATTTCACTGCTAAGGTACTCTGTACAACATGCATGTGACAAATAAAGCTTCTTATACTTGAAAGATTATTTAGAAAACAGAGGTGTTTTCAGCATATGTCCTGCTCAATATTGCAAAAATGCATAAAATTTAAATTTAGATATGATCCTAATAAATTTTTACATAATTTGTCAAAGGCAGGGTTCCATGGTGTAATGGTTAGCACTCTGGACTCTGAATCCAGCGATCCGAGTTCAACTCTCGGTGGAACCTGAGATTAATTACATTTCACTGCTGAGGTACTCTGTACAACATGCATGTGACAAATAAAGCTTGTTATACTTCAAAGATTATTTAGAAAACAGAGGTGTTTTCAGCATATGTCCTGCTCAAAAATGCATAAAATTTAAATTTAGAGATGACCCTAATAAATTTTTACATAATTTGTCAAAGGCAGGGTTCCATGGTTCACGGCAGGGTTCCATGGTGTAATGGTTAGCACTCTGGACTCTGAATCCAGCGATCCGAGTTCAACTCTCGGTGGCACCTGAGATTAATTACATTTCACTGCTGCAAAAATGCAGAAAATTTAAATTTAGAAATGATCCTAATAAATTTTTACATAATTTGTCAAAGGCAGGGTTCCATGGTTCAAGGCAGGGTTCCATGGTGTAATGGTTAGCACTCTGGACTCTGAATCCAGCGATCCGAGTTCAACTCTCCGTGGAACCTGAGATTAATTACATTTCACTGCTAAGGTACTCTGTACAACATGCATGTGACAAATAACGCTTCTTATACTTGAAAGATTATTTAGAAAATAGAGGTGTTTTCAGCATATGTCCTGCTCAATATTGCAAAAATGCATAAAATTTAAATTTAGATATGATCCTAATAAATTTTTACATAATTTGTCAAAGGCAGGGTTCCATGGTGTAATGGTTAGCACTCTGGACTCTGAATCCAGCGATCCGAGTTCAACTCTCGGTGGAACCTGAGATTAATTACATTTCACTGCTGAGGTACTCTGTACAACATGCATGTGACAAATAAAGCTTGTTATACTTCAAAGATTATTTAGAAAACAGAGGTGTTTTCAGCATATGTCCTGCTCAAAAATGCATAAAATTTAAATTTAGAGATGACCCTAATAAATTTTTACATAATTTGTCAAAGGCAGGGTTCCATGGTTCACGGCAGGGTTCCATGGTGTAATGGTTAGCACTCTGGACTCTGAATCCAGCGATCCGAGTTCAACTCTCGGTGGCACCTGAGATTAATTACATTTCACTGCTGCAAAAATGCAGAAAATTTAAATTTAGAAATGATCCTAATAAATTTTTACATAATTTGTCAAAGGCAGGGTTCCATGGTTCAAGGCAGGGTTCCATGGTGTAATGGTTAGCACTCTGGACTCTGAATCCAGCGATCTGAGTTCAACTCTCCGTGGAACCTGAGATTAATTACATTTCACTGCTGAGGTACTCTGTCCAACATGCATGTGACAAATAAAGCTTCTTATACTTGAAAGATTATTTAGAAAACAGAGGTGTTTTCAGCATATGTCCCGCTCAAAAATGCATCAAATTTAAATTTAGAGATGATCCTAATAAATTTTTACATAATTTGTCAAAGGCAGGGTTCCATGGTTCAAGGCAGGGTTCCATGGTGTAATGGTTAGCACTCTGGACTCTGAATCCAGCGATCCGAGTTCAACTCTCGGTGGAACCTGAGATTAATTACATTTCACTGCTGAGGTACTCTGTACAACATGCATGTGACAAAGAAAGCTTCTTATACTTGAAAGATTATTTAGAAAAGAGAGGTGTTTTCAGCATATGTCCCGCTCAATATTGCAAAAATGCATAAAAATTAAATTTAAAGATGACCCTAATAAAATCTATTTTCATGTGGTATTTTAAAATGAAGTAATTATTTTGATGAGTACACTTACATACATTCTAGATGGATAAAATAGTTAATATTTGTCATTCTTTTGTGGTTACACCACTTGATATTTTCAGGCA